CTCCCAATATCTGTGTCTCTGCTTCTTCTGTTTCCTGCCCGGTTCCCACAGTGTGTGGTGTACAGCGAGCGCTAGTTGCCATGGCTGGGGTGTCTCCCCCTTTCTTTATCACCACTCTGTTCCCGAAGTCTAGCAAGAAAACCCTCAAAGGACTCAAAGAAACCCTTTCCCCAAACTCCAAGTTCCTTAAATTCACTATGATCGGGTTCGCAATTCCCTGCGGCAGGGGCTTATTTCCACTCGAAGAGACTCAGTGGCTCACTCTGGCAACTTATTCCCTCTCTCTCTCTCTCTCTTTCTTTCTTTCATTCGGCCTCTGGGGGGCTCTGTCTCTCTCTCGCATCGACGTCTCCAGTTTAGAGGTTTTGGCTTAAAGTTTTGTTTTTGGGGGCTTAGGATTTAGTGATTCAGTGCTGTGTGCTAAGTTACATTGGGCGGCATCGTCCAAAAATTCCGCGCCACTTTTAGGGGTTCTTGCAATGATAGTATGCTATCTAGCACCTTGTTATGGGCAGTGGGAACTGTGTATTGAAAAATGTCCAGGTGATTCCATTTGTCAGATCAGCTGGAGTCAGCCGAGATCGCCACCTGCCGGATCGAAGAAGCCGAGAGGCCTTCAGTCGACACAAATACATGTGGCTACTGATCGAAGCCACGTGCCCCGCAGGCACGTTCCTATGCTATCTGATCCGAAGAGTCTGCATCACACACTTGATCCGGAGGGTCTGAACCGATGACTGACTCTTGCTGGTTCACAAGTGATACGGGGTGAGCGTGTGCTAAATACTGTACTTGGTCTGGAACGCGTATGGAATGGAATGGAACGGGTGTGGAACAGATACCCAGCGCAACTTCAAGTTTGAGGTATTGCATTCTTTGGTCCGGAATGGTGGGGTCTTGAACCAAATTTGAGGACTTGTTCGATCTCTGGATCAGGGTCTGGATCGGGATGTGCGGTTCCCCTTGTTCAGGACCAATCATATTGAGCGGTAGCCATGTCAGGTAGCCATGTCACCAGGGGCAGCAATGCCTTTCCCTAATCCTTGACAGCATCGAAACGAGCCGCCGCCGCCATCAATTTTAGCGCCACCGCCCTGCTGCCGCAGCCGTCGCCACCACCATGGCCGCCGCCGCGGTGAAAATGATGATGAAGATGATGATGATCATGTTCATGGTGATAACGATCACAATAATAACGATCACAACGATGACCCAACAAACGCAGTCCATTGACATGTTATTGCGAATGAAACAAAGCATCATAGTATGGCTGTGGATCAAAACCCCCTTCTGTTGCGGGGCACACCCACCCCCTCTTATGTTTTTGTCCGCCGCGGCCTAGTGTTACAAACCTTTGCGCAAAGGTGCTTGTCGCTAGCCAGGAGATTCTGCTACAAGCCTATGTCGTGCAATGGCCGCCCACAAGCGGAAGACTTCAAAGAGAGCAGAAGCAGAAAAGAAGCAGGACAAAGAGACAGTGAGACACAGGGAGCAAGCGAGAGAGAGAATGGATAGACAGATAGTTGAGGCCCCGACGCCATAGCTCCGACCTGCAACCCCACAACCCCTGGAAGATGTGTTTGTGTGGTTACTTTCACCGAAAGAATGTGCCAAAACCGCTCACCAGCATGCGGCTTTGAAGGCAGTGCCTGCTTGGCCGGGTCAAATGGCGGCGGCTTGGCCTGCGTAAGTTGGACCGGACAGTGAGCAAGCAAAAATCTTGGACGATAATTAGACTTGAGGTCCCTCCCTTCTCACATACCGCACTGGGTATAATTTCTAGCTTTGGAGACTGTGGGTCTACATACGAAGCTCAGTTGGGAGACATGGTCTCCGCAAAAAAACACGCTCCTGCTGCTGCTACTGCTGACTAATACCGCTTGTACTATCATGATAGTGACTACTATGACTATATCTTCTTCCATGCAAAAGCTCCTCCTCCTCTTCAGCCCGCAATGGCGAGGCGGTGTAGAGTGCCTTGGCATTCAGTCCCCTGTGCGTGGTAATGAGGAAAAGGGTACAATTGTAAACAGGGATCCGTTCCCTGGCTCCTTTGGGGCAACATGCTTACCATCATAAACAGGGATCCGTTCCCTAAATCCCGGATTTACATTCAACCAAAGCTTTTGAGATGCTTACAACTGCGCCAGCTCCAGCTGCGTGTACACAAAATGGAAGCAGACAAAAAAGTAGTGTTCGGCGCAGTTGGAACAGGAACAGCAGCACAACAAAGGTAGCACGCGTCGAACTAGATGGTCCTACATGGTACTTGTTGTTGGAAGACGAGAAAATGCAGCGGCATTTTTTACACCTCTTGCTCCTGCTGCTGCTATGATGGCCTGCCACCACCACCACCACCACCACGACGACGACGACGACGACGACTACTACTACTACTACTGCGCGGCGAGCGCCTGCTCCTGCGACCCCGTTGTAACATCACACCTACAACTGCCGTCTTGAATGCTGGTAGCATCCTACTCTCTGAGAATCTTGCCCAATCACCCCATGCGGACCCAGTCAAGCCATCTTGGAAGAACATGCCGATGATCGCCTGAGAAGCAAAGCTTCTGTTGTGACTTTCACATTCGGTGTTCGCCTATGGACATCACTGGACACGGGTTCTGCAAATGACATTACCACAACAAGCGTGGGGAGTTCAGTGGAGCCAGTCTCTGGGACCAGTTTGCTTGTTCACGAGGCATGCTGCCCAAACTCGAAAGCTCGAATTGTCTGTGATAGAGGACTTATCTCCAACGACAGGACCTCTGGGCTCCAGTTGCCCCTGTTGACAATTCATCTGAACGAACCTGGGACTTACCTCTGAACTGTATCCAAGGCACCATCATGGCCAGGCGGC